GTGGTGATGAATGAGAGTTTCTCATCAATGTCTTTTTACTACATGAAGCTTTTCCAGTTCTGCCGTCCCTATCTTATATCTGAAATCTATAGTGTTCGCTATGTTTCTAGTAAGCCTCATGTAATGACATTTTGTTAAATTCAGGAATACTGTTTTCAGTGCAATACTTTTGCAGAGATTCCAAATCGCTTTGAAGTTTTACACCGTCATTTACATTTCTAACAAGTAAATATCTTTAGATCATCAGCATATAACAAATATTTACTGAAATGAAAAACAGAAGTAAGGTTGTTCATGTATATGTTAAATAACAATGGTCCTAAGTGACTACCTTGTGGTACGCCTGAAGTTACTAAGAATGTCTCCGAACGATACCCATTGATAGTCACCACTTGTTTACGATTACTTATATACGATGCTAGCCACTGCCATAATGGACCATCTACACCCCACCTCAGCAAGTCTCTCCATCAAGATAGAATGATCAATCTTGTCGAAAGCCTTACTGAAGTCGGTATAAATAACATCCACCGCAGTTTCTCATCTATTGCGTGAGAGGCATATTCTATAAAACTCATCAAATTCGTCTCTACAGATCTTTTAGGGAAAAATCCATGCTGGTGTTCCGTAATGATATTTTTTGTAATGTTTAAGATAGCATCATAAATCAGCTTTTCAAAAATTTTTGAGAAAATACAAAGTTTAGTGATAGGTCGATAATTTTCCACAAGATGTCTATCGCCTCCTTTATGAAGGCAATATTTCACCTTCTTCCATCTCGTTGGAAAGACTCTTTGAGTTAATGATAGTTTGAAAATTAGGTGAAGTGGTAAACATAAGCTAGCGGAACAGTTTTTTATAAATACAGAAGGTATGCCGTCAGGGCCTACTGATTTTTTAATTTCTAAGGACACTATTTGTTGATATATTTTTTCAATGGATATTAAGGTAACATCAATAGGACTAGCGTCCTTGTTTAAATAAAACTGTTTAGATTTAACATATACACTTGCAAAGAAATCAGCAAAGGCATTACACACCCCACTTCCGGTTTTAACTTCATAGTTTGAATGATTTATAGAACTAGGTATAGAAACATGACATTGTTTCTTACTTGAAACGTATTTCCAAAAGTATCGGCTGTCGTTCAATATATTGTTTTCCATCATTGTTATGTATTCATCCAGGTTTTCCTTAATTAAGATTTTTGATTTGGCTCTAAGGTCACAGAATATCTGATATGTATAGTCTATGATACTTATTTTTTCTCTTAACTGTTTGTATTGTTTCAAGTTTAAAGTATATTGGGTATTTTCCTCGAATTTTATATGTTGGTGTAAATTTGTGAATAGTTTCATTGAGTATGTTATAGAATATGGCTACAGCTTCATCTACAGATTTGGTACTAAATAATTTTTCCCATTCTGTGTCTAAAAGAGTATTATTTATAGAAGTATAGTCAGCTTTATTAAAGTCGTAAAGGCATCGGCTCTGGTGCATTAATGGCTTAAGTAAAACATGCTTAAAACAAAATGTAATTGCAGGATGGTGATTATCCTCAGGAACCAATATGTCAACCGAATTCGAAATATTATATATTGAACACGCGTTACTAAGTATCAAGTCTAATAAACGGTTATTTGAGTTGTAAATTTTATTAAATTGCATTAACTGTAGATACGACAATATGTCAAGTAAGGCACTCGTTTTCTCTTCAACATTAAGTGGCTCCATAAAATGTTCATTAAGTACTGGTTGCCAATTGACACTTGGAAGATTAAAGTCACCAACCAACAACACCGTATTTTGTCGAAAAAAACCTTCATTCTGGTATAATTTGCTTACAACTGAGGCATATGAAATGCTATCCTTAGGTGGTAAATATATACAGCTTATAAATAATTTGGTTGATATGTTCAATTGATACCCAAAGATCTTCAGCATCAGATTCGAGTTCACAACAGCGTTTTGAGTTGAAGACATTTTTTACCGCGATTAACACATGAATTTTCACTAATACCTACCTCCATATAAAGATACTGCAGAGAAGTGAGCTCGCTCAACGCCACCCATGGAGGTTCCCTGATACCGTTATAGTTCAAGTTTAACCTTTGCAACGTTAACAAACTAGAGAAACTGCTGCCATCTTCAAACCCATCTCCCAAATTGTTGTAACTCAAGTCCAAACTCAGAAGCGAATTCATCGAGGGCCACATCTTCGGAGGAATTACGTCGAAATTGTTGTGAGACAAATCTAAATGAGATACTGATATTGGTAGTTGGAACAATGACGACAGTCTGTTTCCTCGTAGATTTAGTGTTCTGGTACCGGATAATCTGGTGAAAGCACTCCTTACGATACTGTCGATGTTGTTGTAGCTCATGTCGAGCTCCAAAAGAGTAGGTACTGCTCCAAACGTGCTTGGTTTGATCATCTCCAAGCTGTTATGACTCAGGTTGAGGTACCGCAGTGAGAATAACGTTTGGAAGACGGAGTTAAAGATATCAGTGAGTTTGTTGTACGATAAATCGATCGTGTGGAGTTCGTACAACTTGGGAAATGTTTTTCTTGGGACGGTGGTTATCAGGTTGTGCGATACGTTAAGCACTTTGATTCCCGTCATGTTGTGTAGTGGAATCTGGAATGAAATAAAAAACACTTGATTCCATCCTTATTTCAATGTAAAATGAATCGTCATATTTGTATAGGGTGTCCAGGAATACGATGGAAAGCTCCGGGTACATACATAAAAAGGTGACTACTATTACCTAGATGATGAAATTCGTAACGTCAAATACCTTAAGCTTTTTTTTGTCAACAGATTCGTAAACCAGGACATTCAAAGATACAGCGTTGGGACCCTTATTTTAGAGACAACCCTCGTATTTATTGGACACAAAAATAATGTCACTGGTTTCTATAAAAATGTTCTATTTGGATTATGGAGATACAGACTTCTTAAAGACACTACAGTGAATTGTTTTTTCTTGAATAATTGTTGACGATACTGTAAAACAGGCTACTTGATTCATATCTAATTTCATAGAATAGATGAATATTTATATAGCATTTGGCTTAGGAAGACGAAATATAGATTTCAATTTTTAAAAGCTATTGGTCCGATTTAAAAAAGTATATTTTTCATTTCTAATACGAAATTGTGAAAACGCTATCGACGTCATACGGGTTGTAAACAAAGAATCGTGGACTGAAGTTGTCTTCTTCAAAGTAACGTAAAAAATAATCGTCTTCTCGTTTTATTGAAAAAAAAAAAACGTCATCAGCGTTGACTTCGTAAAAGCAGAAAGCACAAATTTGCCGAAAATTGACACATTGATGGTTGTGAATTTTTTCAACCCAAATTTCCAGGCTGAGGAACATCAAGACTTCTATGCAAGTTCAGTGCATCTGATGCGATGATAGAGATAATAAATAGAAAGAATAAGTAATACATTTGCATAATCTTCCTTTTCAGAAATCATTCAAAACTGAGATCATGCGTTATAACCTCTGAATAATTTTGCCTAATATTGTTTTTTTCTGACATATCTGCAAGGAAATCGTACGGCAAACATGCAGTAGGTGATGTCCAACTTAAGCAAGATGATAACATTGTTGCGTATATTTATTTCCCTGAACAATGAAATTAACAGCTTTCTTGAGGTCTTTATCGATGTGTTTTTATATATCTCGGACGATACAATAACGATAACACTGATCAACAGCCAAAAATATCCTGAATAAAATCAACAAAATATTACTATTTTTAATGTGCTAAAACTGGAATGAAACTTATTTTTTCAATATTGTTCAAGTTTTAAGAGATACGGTAATTGTATGTGTTCCTGCTGTGACAGTGTTAATATACTGTAATTCACACGAATGCACGTGCTACATTTTATTATCGCAAGGAAGATGATGTATCGCATGATTGTTTTACGTTATACATACGTGTACATTATATTGTTTTATTATAGCCATTTTTTCCTCAGTTGGCTGACAGCGTTCATGCAAGATGTCTCGAAAGTGTGTAAACAATCCAGATCAGTTTTGTTACGTGGTGTGGTGATGTGACTTTTGCGTCTCAGAGACGGTATAATTACTCTACTAATAACAAAGGCATATCAGCTTTATTCGGTTTGTTAACTAGGTGTCAAGACAAACAGTGGGCACCACCCCACATCTGCTTGTAATACATGTGCTTCAAGTCTGAGGAGCTGGTTAAATGACAAAAAACGGTCTAATGCGCTTTGCTGTCCCAATGGTTTTGGAGAGAGCCTACAAATCATATTAATGATTGTTACTTTTGCATGGTACCTTGTGTTGGACAAGCCACAGGTATGTCCAAGAAAAAAAAATCGGTTATTAACTACCCAAACATACCATCTGCGATGAGACCTGTGCCTCACAGTGACGAAAATCCTATTCCAAAACCCCCAGAATCCTACACTTGCGAATCAGAAAACGAATCAAATCATGGCGATCGAGTGATTCGTCAGGAAGAGATATGCCATCAACGTCAAGAGATCCTGATTTTATACCGAGCACGTCATGCACCAACCGCACAAAATAACACAGTCAGAATTAAATGATCTTGTAAGAGATTTAGAACTTCCAAATGTAAGGCAGAGTTACTTGGATCAAGACTGCAGCAGTGGACTTGTTAGAAGACGATGTGTCGGTATGTGTTTTTCGTAAACGCCACAAAGACTTAGAACCATTTTTCAATATGGAGAATAACTTGGTTTTCTGCAGTAACATTAACGGCTTACTGGCGGCTTTATAAATATAAACTATAACCCAGAAGAATGGAGATTGTTTATAGACAGTTCACCATTGAGTTTAAAGGCAGTGTTATTGCATATTGGAAATATTTTACCATCTCTTCCTGTAGGGTATGCAGTTCACATGAAAGAATCATATGACAATATTGACATGCATAAAATACGATGAGCACCAATGGCATATTGTGGCGATTTGAAAGTTGTTGCATTTTTACTTGGGCTGCAGCTAGGCTACACAAGGTTTTTGCTGTTTTTTGTGTGAATGGGACAGTCGGGCAAAGGCACTTCATTACACCAGACAAAACTGGCCTGTTCGTCAATTCCTAGAGCTAGGTCAAAAAAATGTACAGCATATGCCATTAGTAGATTCGAAAAAAATTTTATTACCACCACTGCATATCAAGTTGGGCCTAATGAAAAACTTGTCAAGGCATTAGATAGAGATGGGTCAGCTTTTCAATACCTGCGTCAGAAATTTCCAAGACTAAGTGAGGCAAAGGTTAAAGAAGGTATTTTTGTTGGGCCACAGATTCGAAATATTTTGAAAGATACACAGTTTGAAAACACTTAACATGTATTGAAAAACTGCTTGGAATGATTTCCGTCTGTGGTCACTAATTTCTTGGGAAATAGAAAAGCTGACAAACTATAAAACCCTTGTCAAAAATATGCTGTCATCGTATCAAAAGATGGGCTGTAATATGTCTCTTAGATACATTTCCTACACTCAACACTGCCTTTTTTCCTGACAATTGCGGAGCCGTAAGTGATGAGCCGCCGAACGTTTCATCAGGATATTTCAACATCGGAAAAAAGGTACCAGGAAAGTGGAATCCTTCCATGCTTGCAGACTACTGTTGGACTCTTGGTAGAGACGCTCCCGAAACGATCCATAAAAGAACAGCGAAAAGACAGCACATATAGTGATTCTTATAAGTATATGAATCTTGTTACTTTTTAATATATCCGTAAAAATAAAAATTTTTTTCTAAACCGCAATAATTTTTTTATTTTCATTGTCATTTTTGGATTCAGCGCCCCAAAATTAACAAAGAAGTTCACTTTTCCCACAAGATACAATTAAAAAACTAAAATTTGTTGTCCAGTGTAATTACTATATCTATCATGTAAACTAGTAGTAAAATGTCATGTTTATATGTTTAAAAGCTTGACAGTCTATGCTGCTGTCAGCTACTGTTTACAGATGGTATGACGGCAGAGCACATTAATATAAGCGTCAAACTTAGCAGTCAACAAATTCGCCTAAGAGAAATATATTTTGAATTTATTTTTACGGTCTTTTACGTTTGAAGAAATATATTTTTTTCGTCTAATAGAACAAATATTTACTATTTAAGACTAACTTAAAAAAAGTGTGAATTAGCTGAGCATGAATCTATTATCGAATAACTATATTTTCAAATGACGGAAACAAAACTAAAGATAGTTATAGCACACTTAAGAAGTCATTTAAGAAATAACCGTGTTTCCTTTTATTCTGAGAGACCCTGTATAAATATGTATTCATATTTTCTATGCGTGTTCAAAATACAGTGGACCCCGATAATCCGGTCCCTGTCTAATCCGGCGCCCCCTGTAATCGACATGTCTTTGAATATGTATTGCATACATACCTACGTATTTGACAATCTTCGCTAATGGAACAGGTTACAACTTGTACGCGCCACCGCTATCGTGCTCGACGCGTAAGCATGGTTTTACTTAGTTTGAATTTGACTACTGGTGATAGCGGTACGGCCAAGAGTGCGTTCAATGTTCACTATTTATTCATTGTGTATTAAGTATAGTACCTAGTAATGTCATCACAAATCAGAAGCGAAAGCACAAAACATTGACAATTAAAGAAAAAGGTGATATTTTAATGAAACTTTCAGTAGTTTAGCAAGTGAATACGGCGTAGGCCGATCTACAATTTATGACATTAAAAGAAACCACGACAAGATCAAGAAGTTCGTTTCAACTACTGACTGCGGGCCAGGCAAGAGGCAGACACTCAAGAAAGCTGAACATCCAGAAGTGGAAGGAGAAATAGGCATGCACCAATTTCAGGACCCATGTTGGCCATGAAAGCTAAGTTTTTTTATAAGGAAATAACAAAAACAGATGATTTTGTGGCCAGCAAAGGATGGCTAGAACGTTTTAAAAGTCATCATGGCATACGTTTAATGACTATTACATACAGGAGAGAAACTTTCTAACGATGCCACCTGCATAGAGCCCTTTAAATTAAGATTTTTGCAAAAGGTGAACGATTTAAATCTTGACCCGTCACACGTGTACAATGCAGACGAATCAGGGCTTTTTTGGCGTGTGATGCCTAACAAAACTTTCGTTTCTTGTAACGAAAAATCCGTATCTGGACGAAAAAGTAAAGAGCGTGTAACTATAATGTGCTAACGCTGCGGGCACACACGCGCTTAAGATGATGGTCATTGGGAAATCTAATAAACCACGGGCATTCAAAAACATTGATTTACCTGTACACTATTACGGACAAAAAAGTGCATGGATGACAAAACACCTTTTCAAAAAGTGGTTTGATGAATGCTTCATACCTGAAGTTAGAAAATGGTTAAAAGATCATAATTTTCCTCAAAAAGCGTTGTTGCTTCTTGATAACGCTCCCGGTCATCCGTCTGAAGAAGAACTAACAACTGAGGATGAATGCATCACTGCGATGTTTCTTCCGCCAAATTGCACTGCACTGATTCAACCAATGGACGAGAATATCATTCAGTTTGTCAATCAAGACTATAAGAAAAACCTACTTCTGAGAGCCGTATCAAAGGACCAACCAATAGAAAAAACTTTAAAAGAATTTAATATGAAAGACTTGGTTTTTGCTCTTTGTCAGTCGTGGAATGCGTTACCGTCATCAACTATTAAATCGTCTTGGAAAAAGTTATGGCCAGATATAG